GTTGCTCAGCTGAGCAGATCTGATGTAAAATCCAGAACCTACATATAAACGGTTTTGTGTGAAATGAGTGATGAGTGTAATCGTAATAAAAAACTGAATTAAAGCTGCGTCTAAGAGTCTGTTGTCTCTTTTCTCTTTCATCTTTTAAAGAACGTGTTAATTAAGGATCCTCCATGTTGTTCAGATCAACAGCAAGAAACAAGGTCTGATTTGAAGCTTTAGGAAGGAAGAATCAGCTGAATGTGGAAAATCTACTTTTTGTTTCAGTTTAGATTCTGTGCAGAAAAGAGAACAAAAAACTACCAATAAAGAACAGAAAATCAGGATCTTAGTTCACAGACATTTGAATTCTCAGGTTCTGATGGTTTATTAGATCAAATGCATGAAACTGGTTTGGAATTGAAAATCTTATTTAAGAGAAGAAAGAAAAGTCCTTCTTATATGTATTTATGAAAAAAACCCACAGTTTATTTGTTTTTTTTTAAAAGAATAAGAAAATGATGTGATTGAATCCAGATGATGAAGGTGTGAAGCTGCCACTGCAGCAGATTTCTGAGCAGAACAAAAGAAACCATCAGAATCCAGCATTTATGTCTCTGCTGCTCTCTTTGTGTCCCAGCTATCACTAAGGACAGATGGACATGTCCCCCAGAGTGTCCCCGGGGTGTCTCCCGCCTGTCTGTCTGTCTCTGTCGCATTAAGCAGAAGGACGGATCACTATTCAGCGAGGAAAAACAGCGTAATGCGCCAGTCCAGGCTCCTGTGTTTCCTCTCGGTCGCACTATTTGGCAGAAGGAAGCAGGGGTGGAGAGCGAGAGGGAGGGGCATCAAGGCTGCGTCACCACAGCCGGAAATACGCGCAAGAAACCAAAAATAAAAGCCTCTTTATTTAATATTCATTCTTCTTTTGAGTCAGACTTAAACGTAGTAAATGAAATGTCGTTTTGTAAACAGTCTGTATATAAAAAATGAAAATAACATTTGTTTAAGTTAAATTTTGTACATTTAATTCTTTGATGCACCTTTTTCTTCTTTTGCAGCTTGTGTTTATTAGAGCTGATGTCACAGGTGAATTTCTGCATTGTGAGATCAATTAAGTCTTATCTTAATCAAACCCTGAAAATGTAGGACAATTTTAAAGGTTGAAAAAAATGTTCAAGTTGAGAATAAACTGTTTTAAGAAATAACTGATTTTGTTTCCATTAATATAAATGAAGCTGCAGCTGAATTTTCCTTTTTATGTTGAAAATGTGAGAAACTGGGATATTTTGGAGCTTAGTTTAAATGTAATATTACTTTAAGCACATGATAAACATTTTGAATTTGTTATTGAATATTGTAATCGTAAAAATATGCAGACCCAGTTTATAGATTAATATACCTATGTTTTTAAGAATTTGTTACTGTTGTAATAAACAATTTCTGTTTACAGCAGAGCAAAATCAAACATTACAGATTAAAATTATACAGAATACCTGTTGAATTCTATTTGAATTTAATGACAAAAGAAACCCTACATAATTAATTAATTGTAAATTTATATTTAATATATTTTCATTAAGCAAGAAATATGAAAAGGTGCACACATTCAATGTTAAAATATATTTTACTTTAATATAAATAACAATAGATTTTAAATGCAAGAATAAATAACATTTTATAGGACACTATGAACCGCTTATTAATGTATATATCAGTGTTTCTATAAATACAAACAGCTGCAGTGAGTTGAGCTCCTGCTGAGCTGCGTGTCTTTTATTTTGAAAGACCCAGCCGGATGTTGGTCATCCCGCTGCTTGCAGCTTGACGCCTGGAGGTGAGATGGCCGAGAAGTGTCTGAGGTTCCTGTGAATCGGAGCGGCTCAGTGGACAGACCCGCAGGAACCCCTCCGTTCTCCCGCCCCGGTCCGTTAGCCATTTTCACGGTAAGACAGAAAGGCGCGCGCACCTGTCCGGTTAGCTTGCAGGTAAACAACCAGCGACAGCACGCGGAGCGTTCGTTTTGTTGGCTGCGTTCTCCCGCCGAGGGGGAGGGGCGGGAGAGGCAGCAGCGCCAGACAGCCAGAGACCGAACCCAGTCCCCGGCTGTGTCCCCTGTCTGGGACAGCCCTGGCCCCGGTTAGACCCCCCGGACTGGACCGCTGTAGTCCAGCGGTCTGTGACCCCCCCCTCCCCCCCATGTGTTTGTAAAGGACTGTAAAGATAAAAGGAAAAGGCGAGCAACATGGCTGACGCTGCAGAGACTCTTTCTGGTTTTCTCACCGCAGAACCTTCATGAGAAAATGACAAACTGAACAGAAACAGGCGGATCAACAGTCAGAGCAGCCGCCGCGTTCTTTCAGAATCCGGAGCGGATGCAGTGAAATCCAGTTTCCCCTGAAGGTCTCAGACTGGAGCCTTTTGGTGCATTGTCACATTGAAATGCAGCAGAATGGACAGGTTGGCTGACTGATCACCATGGAGACCAGGACCAGAACCTGCAGCTGGGTCCGGGTCCAGGTCTAGCTCTAGTTCCAGGTCCAGGTCTGATCAGAACCCAAACATCAGCTGAGAGGAAGTTCAAGTTCATAGTTGCTCATTTTCAAAAACACCTGCCTGAAAACTAAAGACTGACTGAAGGAAACCTGCATCTGTCAGAAACTGGAAAATCCGGTTTTGATTCCTGTTTATAAACGCACCATATGATGGAAGAAAAAAATCAGACTGAAATATTTGATGCCTTTTCTGTTCATTTGAAGATTAGGTCCTCATTTATAAAAAAAATAAACTCAGTTTCT